TATATATTATATTCATGCTGCCTTTTTGTGGAGGCAAAAATTATTAGTATATTAATCTGGAAATCTGTCGATTAACCGTATATATAATTTCCCCCTTTTGGAGGAAGATTTTTGTAGGCGACCGTGCAAAGAAGAGTCTGGAAACTGTTACTGCCTTACCCCTATCTGTAGAATTGCTTTTCCTCTATCACCGGCTTCCACTTTTTCTTTGTTCCGTTCGTAATCTTTTCCCTTCCTTATCTACTTCCTCCCCAACCTTTTTTGGGTGACATCATATCTAGCCTTCTGGGGTTGTGTGCTCCAATTTGCATATTATAATATTATTATTGTTATTATTATTATTCTATTGTAGTGGAATGTCTATATCTCCTTCCATCTTGGATTGTCCTATACTGAGATGAACCATCTTCCTTCTCCTTGTTACATGGGATTAGGATCCGTCACTAGTAATTTTTTTTTTCAAGTTCCCCCTTCTGTGGCATTGAGCATAATATAAAACGAATAAAAGTGAAAGGCATCTTCATCCTTGGTCGCTATTATCTTTTATCTTTGTGGGTGTGTACGAAACGTATGATTTGACAACGGAAAATATCAAGTCCTTGGTTGGAGATGGAGGCCAAAGACAAAGCAAAGAAAAGTGGATGAGGATAATTGTTTTCCAACTCATCCTCTCCTCAATCCACCCACCATGTCCCTTTCCGTGAGTGTTTGTTCCCTGGGAAACTACCAAGTTGCTTGCTTCTTTTCACTTTTCAATATTTTCTCTAACGATTTTTCTCATTATTATTATTATTATTATTATTATTATTATTATTATTATTATTATTATTATTATTATTTCTGTTGCAATTATATTTGACTTTTTTATATTAAATCTATAATGTATGAAATATGAACATACTTTTCTCTACCCGGTTGGGTGAAGCTTGTGTTAATCATGTGGTTACCAAGAAATTATCTACCTTTAGCTTTCAAAAGAACTGACTTGCAATTGGTTTAATGAAGCGCTCATCCTAACTAAGTCATCAATAGGATAATTATTGCTCAGATAGTTATTTTGGTCTATCATAGTTTAATTGGAAAATATATAACGATAAGATGATAAGGTTAGCCTTTGTGGGGCCCATTTTTTAATTATTATTAATTGATGATGAAAATTTAGAAAGGGGGACCTGGGTTGTTTCCATCTGGCCAGGAACTTTTTTATCTTTAGTGTAAAGGCCGTTCTATCCGTACTACTTATTGTATATTTCAGGATGCCCTTAAGATTGCAAAACCTGTTGTTTTACACTCCGAACGTCAATTCTTAGTGGGTGTGGCTTTCCAATTAAACGGAGCTTTGGAATCTCAGTACACAGTGAGAGTAACTTTCAATTGATTGGAACTTTGTAATGTGTATTTTATTTAAACAAATACTCACTTAAAAGTTTTGTATTCGTTCGACTAAAAAAAAAATAAAAATAGTTCTAAACTTTTTTGTCTTTATCACTTGTATGGTTTGATATTTTTGTGACTTTTATTTTCTTTCTTATCAGGGGTCTTTTTCATTAAATAATGTCTGTTGTATTTGTACCTTAGGTGTTGGTATGTTCGCCCAGTCTGCCATCCTTATTTATGCACACATATTTTACCACACGAGCTCAATTTTTATGTTTGGTTTTTTAATTAAATGGACAATATTTACTATCTAAAAGTGATACTTTAAGTTTGGTTTTTTAATTAAACGGACAACATTCACTCTCTTAGGTACTTATTCTGATATACAACCACTATCTAAAAGATAGTTGAGTTTTTTCCTTTTTTTTTTTTTAGTTTCGTTTAACCACAAATTCGTAATTAAGCAATTATTGAATATTAGCCGTAAGAGCGGCGTGATGTCTACTATTTGCTAAGGTGAAGTGACCCTTCCCGTGTGCCGGATTGAATTAATGGCATTAAAAGTACCTATCTTAGCTGTAGTTTCCAACGTACGCAAGTTCCATGCTTCATTAATTTTATGTTTTTTTTGGGTGATATAATACCATTGTAGTGCCTGCTAAAAGACATTTTTGTCTGTGTCAACCTGTCCTAGTTATTACTTGGGGTTGAATAATCTATTCATTCAAATGTGTGATGGTTATGATGCATTCGTTAGTATGACTTCCTTTTGTGTCAAACTTACAGTTATTTGAAGCTTTTTTTTTTAACGTCCATTTTATTTTCTTTATTTACCTACCAGCGTGCAAAATTTATGATATTTATTTTACTTATCATCATTATTTATATTAATATTTTTGTTTAAATTTGATGAGTCATGTTTTATTACATTACAAGTATTGTGATTAATCTAGGTAGTAAATCATAAAGTTGAAAGCTTTGTTTGAGTGGGTGAATGGGCCTTGAAGAAGAAGGCGTGGAAAATGCGTTGTGAATACTTAAATTAATTGGGTCGGTTGGTGGTCCAAATCTAGATAGGCTCATATATACCCATCACGTGCTTATCCCTTTTTTTTTACACCTAACCATCTTGTGCATACCATTGGTGCCACGTGCGCAGAGTTATATATTACAGTACTCTGTTTCAAAATTGTTGTTTTATATTTATTATATATTTTTAGAAATGCATGTTATTGTTATTTGATGGGTAAAACTAATTTTTATTTAAAAATAATTACAGAGAAAGTTATCTAAAAGTAATTGGGACTATTTAAAACTTATTTGATTCTAACTATGATCTAAAAATGGTTAATTTGAAGCAGAAAAGCAAGTGGAGGGGCAGCATACAGCACTAGTTCGGTGTACGACAAGAACCCTGATGATCAGATCCAGTCTGGACCTGTTCCAGACGATGTGATCCACGCCACTCAGTCCGGCAAGTACTGGGCCCCACACCCACAGACTGGTGTATTTGGGCCTCCCGGCGACCACCTTGCTTCTCCTCCGACCTCCTCCACTGGCGGCGGAGAAAGCTCCTTTCACTCTGATGTGCTGGAGGAGAAGGCCTGGTTCCGCCCCACGAGCCTGGAGGATTTGGAGAAGCCTCACAGTCTTCCTTGATCACCAACTGCACTCAACGAACCCTTTGGTTAAGACATTATATTATTAATATTACAGAATAAATAAAAGACAGACAAACAACACTTGTCACTGTTAGTGAATAAGTGAAAGTTTGTGTCGGTGAGTGAGTGAGTGAGCCTGGTGTGTGGGTTCGTTACTCCATTTAGCTTGTTTTTGTAAATTTACCGACTACCTTCTATCTAGCATAATCATGTATGTCTCTTCTTTCTGTTTTCATACTACTTTGAATATCAGACTTATGCCTATGCTTTTACTCATAAATCTATGGTGTTATGTACTCTTTTTTGTTTTCATGACACTCCGACTAAATATCTATCACCATCGTTTTCGTTTTTTACTTTAATGTATGTTTCGGCCTAACAAAAATTGTTAATTTTTAAATCAAAGATAACATTTTATGAAATCATTACATTATATAAGATAAATTTAGTTTATTAAAGTAATAATCTATGCTTTAATGTACTGTGTTAAAATAACTCTTAAAGGTTTTGAAGAGAAAGCATTAAAAGATTCTGTTGAAAATGTGAGTATCATTTAAAACACCAAAAAAGGTTAATGTTATCTGTTTTTGTTGGTTATCATTTTCAATTAGAGTAATGGTAACTTTCTTGACTAACATTACAATTAATGGAGTTAAGAAGGAAAGTTAAAATGCTTTTAATCTCAATTTATAAGGACTGTGTATTGTGCATGACTAAACACTCTTAAGTCATATCACTGCATTATAAATAATACAATCATGAAAAGTATTTTTTTTACGTGCTGATTTGGAATAGAAAAAGTTCTTAAAATTAGTTTTTATTATAGGTCTCTTCATAAGAAAATATTGATTAAAAAAAATTGAACATATTATTATTACTCTCCAATATTTTTCATTAACAAAAAAAATACGTTTTTTTAGATTTAAAAATTAAGTAAGTCTTAACTACTTTTTATTTTATTTGATTATATTTTCTTCTAAAATAGTTCAACTTTTTAACTAATATTTGACTTTTGACTTTTAGTTACAACATTTTTTCATTGACATTTTAGAAAAATATCAAGGGACTAGCAAATTTTAATGAAATTAGTTAAATGTGTGTGATTATTGATATGCATTTTTTTTTCTGACTTTTATACAATTTTCTTTTCAATTGTCCTATTATTTTATATGCTCTCATTTTTTTTATAGTAAGCATAATTTTTTTTTCAAATTAAGTCATTTTTTATTTATCTCACTGGTTGCTTTTATAGAAAGTTAATTTTAGATTATGATATGTAATTAATATGAAGAAAAAAAATATTATGTTCATTCCTTATATAAAAATGAAATCAATTTGAGAATATTTAAAGTAGTGGAATATGAACAACTTAAAAATAATAGGATACTAAATTGTTAACCTTAATAAATATATACTTTTTATAATTAATCCATCAAAAGTCATTATTAATATAATCTAGTCAATAGTAAAGATAACTGCATGCTTGCTATAATTATAATTAATGCCTATAAACAGGACTAGGTTCCATTTTCACCTTAAATCCTATAACTTCATTTAGCCACTATAATAAAAGTCCTAAGACTTTTAGTCATAAAAAGGAGAAGCATAAAGTCTTTTTAACCAATAAAAAAAAAATAAAAAAAAAAAGAAATAATAAAAAAAAAATTTTTTATAAATTTATCTATAAAATATGTTTCTAACTTTAATAAGAATATATTCAACTAAGTGTTTGGTTAAATATATTTACTTCTGGTTTTCGTCAAAGTATTGAGCAAGACACTCTTAATTAATTTATAAATTTATCTATAGAATATTGTAAAAATATTTATTTATTAAAATACTTTTATAAAAAAAGGTTGACCAAGTTCCATGGAGATGGGTTTCAGTGACATGTATGTCTTAACAAAAGGAAAAAAATATTTTTATACAAATGTTTTTATAATATTCTGATATAACACGTCATTATTTTATAAATTTATTATTAATTTATCATGTACTGACTTAATTTAAATTTAATGAGAAAATAATGCATATAGTATCAAAATATTATAAAAAAATATCATAACTTAATATAAAAATATAATTCTGAAGGTTGGTGTGGGAAGTAGCACTTAGTCATCAACAATTTAGTATATCAATTCCTACTAATGGTGCTGTCATGCGAGTTGACACCACAACCCAAATTCAAATTAATTACCAATTTCCTATTCTGTAAATTAAATGCTATGAGATGAAATATTAAATACATCCTTTATATATATATATATATATATATATATATATATATATAAATTAACAATACATATAGGTAATTATAGTAAGTGATTTTCCATTGGACATCCTATGTTTATTTATTTTAAATAAATCTCTATTATTAAACCGTTTTTTTATCCAGAGTTATATTCAGACTAATTTTTAAAATGATATCAAAATTATTAAAAATTTATTTTCTTATTCTCACATATACATTCAATTTTGTTTGGTACAAATAAAGTCTTCCGTAGAATAAAATAAGAGATGAATATGAATTTATATATACATAAGATACTTAAGAGGCCTTTTGGAATGGTACCAAAAACAAATCCGTGAAGACTTGACCCAAAGTGGATAATATTTTACCACTGTAGAGATCTATGTGTATGTGTGTGTTGAATCTCCCTATAAATTTACACTTTTTTTAAAGTAATGTAATTTTAATCTCACTTAATATTTCCACTACTTTTAATACGCCTATTTTACAATATTAATATAACTATTTATCATGAAAGCAACTATTAAAACTATCTTAAAAACTCAACACACTCTTTTTTATTGTTTAAAATTAATTAAAAACCAAAACTCAGTAAATTAAATAAATTGCAAAACTCTCTAAATATTATAAATTCAATAAAAGTACACGATAAAAATAAATGTGTTAGAAAACATATTTCTAAAATTTCGCTGGTTCGTGGGACGTTGGATGTGATGGAATGAAAAAGAAACAAAAATTGAAAATAACTCAATCAATTAGGAAATTCACATAACCCATCACGAGTCTATTTTTCTTTTTCTTTTTCATTTTTAAAAAATATAACAGTAAATAAAATAAAATAATATTATAATATACACAACTAATAACCAAAGTCAAACACATTACACCTCCAATGTTCATACTTATTAGTAAACTCTTGAGCTAGTGGGTCATTGAAATTTAACTGACGGAAACTGTAGCCCGATTTAATAAAATTGAAATTTATTTAGTTTAGATCTGATCTGACCCAAATATTAAACCAAATGAAATCAACTACTTAGTTTCAAAAGGATTTTCGTGCTCTGACAAATCGATACAAAATCCAATCCAATGGAAACAGCAACTATAGCATTGCAGTAGTAGAAAGCTACACGGCTTTTCCAAAGCATAATATCTCAAGTTATCTCTAACATAGTATTCTGCAGTCATCACAATAAATTCAAATGTTCATCACCCTGCTGTCCTCCTTTTATACTAGAAAACTGTATTCAATTATTCATACTCTCACCGGGTGTATACATTTATCAAAAGATACAAAAAGAGAGAAGTAAACTGTAAAGGACATGAACGGATTCATGAGACCAAGAAAGGGAAAATTTGTAGAAAAAGTGAGGTGGAAGAAGAACAAGTATACAATATTCTTGCTGTCTATATATGGCACCTTCAATATCATCCAGTAAAACCAGCCATGAAAAGAATTCATCTCATGATGACAACATGAAAACTGAGCAACATCAATTAAGACAAAGCTTTAGTTTCATTGAAACGCCTCAAAACTAAACAAACAGCTCAGGGGTGCCAGAATTGGGCTTGAGACTTGATTGAATCTTCCAAGTTCAGTGCTTGTTTCGTTCTTTGACATCATCGTCCAAGTCTTCATTCAAGTGCTGACGGGGTTGCAAAGGCGTATGTGAATCTTCCCAACCTCCAATATCCCTTGATCGTTCTTGGGCATGTGGCAGGTTCTTCTTTCCTTTCTTGCTTCCCTTAATCACAGTTCAGAACAATTGCAATCAACGTCAGAGAAAAATACACAACTTATTTGCAAAACGTTACTATGTTAACACAGAAAAGAGCACCTCCTCAGTCATTTCTTGATGCTGATTCACATGACTTTTTTTCCTATTATTTGATGGTAGCTGATCCGCGACATTCCTGAATAGTTGAAACCCCTGAATATCTCCATTTCTAATGCTTGCTTCCAGCTGCAATGTTAACTATTCTATCAATATGAAAACCACATGAGCTACAACATGGTTGGTATAAGCCAGGCTACTAAAATTGGATATTTTCAAGTCTAGTCAAGTTCTAAAACAGATTTGCGGCCACAATTTCAGTCGTGAAATCAAATGTCAAGGTTTTTGTGCTGTTCGATCATATTGTTGCAACTACGATTGCAATGAGATAGCAACTGAAATTTAAAGCCTTGACTCTAATCATTGAGCTCTCAGGAAGCTTTAGCCTTGGGCATATTTTTTGCATAATCAAGGTTAAAAAAAAATAATAGTAAGCTCCAAGGCATGGGAAATGTACATATAAGAAAAACATGATGAGCTCGAACCTGAATGTGAACGATGCAGAATAAAATGCTGGCAATAGGCAGCCAACTTTCTTCAGGCGAAAGTGATAGGTTTGACCTGATGAATCACAACATCATATCATTCTCAAGTAAAACAAAACCTCGAATAGAAGTAACATTACTAATCAAATGCTCCTTGGGGGATACTAATTGTTCTCTCGCCATGCATCAAGCGAATAACACAAATATCCTGTTCGGATAAGAAGAGGAAAAAACAAGATAAAAATGAATTTAACTTCTTGCATAAGCCGAATCAATTTATCATCTCAATGGTTCGAAAAGATACAAAAGAGAGCTTCTAGACAAGTGTTTAAGATAATTTAAATTTGAAAGAGAAACTCAATTCATTTTACTTCTTTAATAAGAGAGAAGTCGATCCACACAGGAACATAGAGTAAATGGTTCAATGTTCTAATAAGCATTGATATAGCAATTGTAAAGAACAGAGGAAGTGTGGTGTGAAAAAAAAGAAGAAATACTAGTTACAAGGCAAATTCGTGGTGTGAGTGAATCGAGAAAGGAACCTGAGATAAGGAGCCATATAAACAAGTGCGTAGACAGCATAACGTCGTTTGCCAGTATCGAGCCACGCGAAAACCCAGCTCTGCAAAAAGTTGAAGATTGTGATGGCAGTGTCACCTATAACGAAAAATGAAAGAGTTGGGAAAGAAGGGTGCATACGAGCCAATTGAAATAAGGGATGAAACTTAGAATCCCCATGACGACGAGCCTTGCGTCGGTTGTGGTGACGGCGGAGTCGGCGTCTTCGTCATCTTCCGGGGAAGCGGCGACGGGAAGCAGCAGAGAGGTGAACATGCAAGCGCCGATTGCGGCAGCAAAGGGGGCATCGTCGGTGAAGAGCGCCTTGCAGGTGAGGTTGCTGTTCCTGAAATTGGAAATGGAAGGGTAGGGTTTGAGGGGATCTGTATGAGAAGGGTGTTTGAGAAAAGATTGGAATTTGAAAGAGGGGTATGAGTGAAGAATGGTGGAAGAAATCATGGTGTTGGATGATGATGACGATGATGATGTAGGTAGAACTAAGAATTAAAAAAAAAAAAAACCTTCTAGGGATTCGAAAACCCTAAATAAAAGAATCTCTGCACTGCAACATGCTGCGTGCGCTCATTCTGGTTTGGTCGCGCAATTCACTAAACTTCACCAACTGTTTGTTCAATGTCCAAAAATCAAGATTTTGTATCAGTGAACTAGTGTCTATTTCTTTTAATCAATTTGAAATTAATTTATTTTAATATGTTTAAATAGCCGTGACGCTAAAATTTATTGATTGTCAAAATTTAAATTAAATTTATTTCAATTTTCTAAAGAATGATTAATCCTGTTAATATATTGTTCGTGTAACTACAACTATAATAATAATAATAATAATAATAATAATAATAATAATAAAGATTTGAAATTATAAAAAAGATTTATAACAACTATTTCATAACAATATAATATATTATATATCATAATATCATAATGAAAAATGTGTGAATACTACCATTAGTACAGCGTTTGACTGTAACAAGATTAATTAAATGCAATTAATTAATCTTAATACATAAATTGTATATAACCTTTATAAGTTGTATAATGCAAAGCTTGAAAATAGAAACTCAAAGCTTGAAGTGAGTACGATTTGGGTGTTATCATCCCTGCAAGAAAAACACACAATTTTAGTTCTACTCGATTGCTTCTCTTTCTCAACCTTCCAAGGTAGACCTATTTCTTTTTTATTCGTAAACGATTCACCCCTTTTTAGATTACCAACTGGAACATTTGGGTCAGATCTGATTTCGCCCAATTTTATGCTTTCGCCTTAAAATCACGATGAAAGCTCAGCTTACAGTGTTTGTTCATTGCTGAGGTGCTATAAATCTTCCATGATATCTATAAATCTGCCATGATATATAACGGGTCGCCTTTTTTATTCTTTTATCAAATATAATGTGAATTTCAACTGGGTTGATGCTAAATTTCATTTTTTTAATCAAATTTTGGAGTTTTTCGTCCTAGGTTGGATGCGATCGAGCTGGGGTTTATCGGTTTCACGTTGTCTTACCTAAGTTATGTTGTAAAACGTTTTTAGAGAATTATTGGAGGAAATTTGATTGATTTGTTGATTTTTGTAGAAGCAATATGAAGAACCAGCACGGTTATGTGCCACCTGCTTACATACCTTTGGGGCAGTCAGATTCAGAGGTAGTTCATGTCTCTCCGCTTCAGCGTAATAAACAACATCCTGGTAGCAATGGATCAAACCAAATGCAGCCTCAGTGGTCTTCTGGAATCTGTGCTTGTTTCGATGATACGCAGAGTTGTATGCTACTTCCTTACCCTGTGACCTCATTTAATACAAAGGTGCCTCTTGACTATGTTTTGAGGAAATTTGGTTGTGTTCGTGTTCCTTTTATCCTAAATATTAGTGTTGATTCGGTGTTTTGTGTATCTTAACGATAAAATTAAAATGGAATTGTCACTATGTGACCCAGAGGTCATAAGTTGGAGTTGTGTAGTTAATACCACATAAGGCTGCTTCCTGTAAAACTTGCACATAGCATGATGTTCCTCTTTATTCTGTGATAAAATCATTTTCTGTATAACTGGATAGTATTCTTTCTTCAAAACCCTGAGAGGATTATTTTGTATGACTGTATAACTGTATTGTGAATGATAGAAGGTTAATACTATTGTTGATGCTTCTGATGGTTCTAACGAGGTTGAGGGATTAGGCCGATGAAATCCTAGCAACCGACTGAGAAATTAAGAACAGCAGCAGGGGAAACAATGAGGGTCGTGATGAAAAGCTCTTCATTTTTTTTTTGTAGCACAATGTTAGCCTTTATATTGTGTTTGTTATCTTGCCCACATTAAACCTTATAATTATATGAACTTTTAACTCATTGAACTTATTTTTGGTTGGTGACTGGAAAATTCTTTGATGAACATTTTTTCAATTCACACCAGTTGTTATTTGATGTACACCAACGATAACCACAGGATTAAACAAAATGCACCAACTTTTAGAATTGGTGAAAGGAGTTTTCGTTGTGAAGAAGAGCTTGTAGGTTGAAATATTTATATTTGAGTGCCAAAACTCTCGATTTGTCCATTCGTGATAATGTTATTTATCATCTAAATTGATTGGCTGCAAACATTTATCACCTGTGCAGGTTGTATAGGTTGTCTTTGTCCTTGCTTTCTCTTTGGGAAGAATGCTGAAATTCTGGGTTCTGGAACTTTCCTGGGATCATGTGTTACACACTTTATATTATGGAGTGTGGTTAATACAGCCTGCTGCTTATTAACTGATGGCTTGTTTTTGGGTTTACCGGGATGCCTTGTTTCGTGTTATGCCTGTGGCTATCGCAAGGCCTTAAGATCAAAGTATAATTTGCCGGTAATGCTATTACAACTATGCTTTACATGAATTCTTATTACATTTTTTCCCATTATTGTAGGCTTTGAAACTTTTGACAATTCTCTGCAACCTCATGCCTGGAATAAAAGTTTTGTATTTAGCTATTGCATTATTGCTTTTTGAAGAGACTGGTTATTGAAAATTTGGATGTCTCAAAACTAATGAAGTGGTGATTCTATGCTATAACGATGTTCTTGCCTTATGCAGGAAGCACCCTGTGGGGATTTTGTTACCCATTTTTGCTGTCATCCCTGTGCTATTTGTCAAGAATATCGTGAGATATGTGAAAGATCTGGGGATAGTCAATCAACAAACTTGAAGCTAGCTGTAGTTACAGCTCCACCAATCCAGACAATGCAACCTGATACCATGCAATAATGTAGTTATACACTATCGTGCTTTCTCAGTTTTACCACCTTAATTCTCTTCTTGAAGAAAACTACAAGAATATCATATAGCCATTTGTACATAAAAATTGAGTGCGTTTGATTCTTAGTTACCTTAATTTTTGTGTCATATGTACCCTTTTTACTCCTTGAAAGACAAGTAGAACAACATATACCATGGCATGAGCTAATTTGTCAATATTGTGATCATTCTTACTTGCAATGCTTTATATCTATTTGCGTTTATTTTCCCTTCCGTTAAATGGCTTTTTCCACCCGTCTTTTCCATATGCCTTTTCGGTCCATTTCCTTGCTCATTTGTATATTCATTTTTTCACTCATTTTGAATGAGTTTAACTTCTATTTCCTCACTCACTTGATTGATTTTTTTTCCCATATTTTCATTTAACATGTTTTATTTTTCTTTTTAATCATTTTTACTATATGTTTCCATCCATTATAATGAATTTTTGTCTGTTTACATTTTTCTACTCATGAATATTTTTTTACTGATTTTTCTACCTTATTTTCAACATTTTTTTTCTACATTTCCTTTTTTCTCACGTACGTTGGTTTTTATTTCTCGCACTAAATTGTGTGTATGATCATTCAAATAAAAGTTATATTTTGATCGCAGTACTCATCACACTAGCCATTAAGATTCAACAAGCAATCATTAAAAAGTAATGAATAAAGTTAAACGGATGGTTATATCACAGAAATTTACAACACGTAAGAAGTCTGCATGTTAGCAATTTACAAAATTTACATTTGTTTTATATTTATTACAATATTTACAATTGAATATCATAATGCTGCAAATAGACACGTTTTGCCCATATGCTGCTGAGATCCATAATGTTGTAATAAATACACAACAAAACATCACTCTAATAAGATATTTATTAGATCATTCGGTTAAAAACTCAGAACAATCACCCTATGTAATTATTACGTCCTGATAAATATGAGGAATGAAGAACTGTTTTTAGATGTGCTTACTCAACTAAAGAAACTAGACCTAAAGGTTCCACCATTCAGGCACAGTTGGATCTAGCTGAAAAATTCAGGTAGGGAGCTACCAATAGTTATACCAGTCATTGGGAAAAAGCAGGCCGTATTTTACCAATAGTCGTTGCAAGAACAAGTTGCATATTTGAAGTGGTGAAAGCGGTTTGAATCTCTAACAACAATCTCCTTCTGAAATAGAGATGATGCTAATTTCATGAAGTTGTGGCAGTCCACACAAATACGAATATTCTTCATTATCTTAATGACATTCCCACCACATGGCAAACTTCCTTCGTTCATTATGGCAAATACCAATGCCATCTTCTCACTGTGATGAAGTAACTGGTCTTCTTTGTGTTCCACTTCGGTGTCATATAAGGCTAAGCTAAGCTCCGGCACATAACCCATCTCTTTCAATTTTCCAAACAATATCTCAAGCTGTCTTAATATGGCCCCTTTATGCGGATGGTATTGAGCACCAGAGCCAAATTCATGAACCTGCTTGCCAATCTCAACCCAACTTAATCCTGGTTCTTTTCTTACTTTATAGTTACTCATTTCTTTCCTAATCAAACTAGCTTCTGTAAAACTACCGGCAGAGGAATATACGTTTGACATTTGTACATACCCCATTGAATTGTTTGGTTCTAACTCTTTAAATTTATCAGCTGCTAATTTGGCTAAGCGAGTCTCACCATGCTTCCTGCAAGATCCAAGTAATGAACTCCAAATCACAGAGTCAGGTTTCATTGGTATTTTGCGTATTAATTCCTCAGCCTCAACTATCTTTCCAGCTCGTCCATAAAGGTCAATCATGCAGGAATAGTGATCTAGTTGAGGAGCAATACAGTGATCATCAGACATGGAGTTAAACAATGTCACTCCTTCATCAACCAGTCCGACATGACTACAAGCTGAGAGAAGGGCAACGAAGGTAGCTGAATCTGGACAGACTTCCATTTGCTGGAAGAGCTCCAGTGCATCTCTAGCTTTCCCATGTATGGCATAAGACTTGAGCATTGAATTCCAAGAAACCAAATCACGGTAGCCCATTTCATCAAATACTTGTTCAGACAAAGCCAACGAGCCACACCTCGAATAAGCATGTATCAAGGCATTACAAAGAACAGTATCTTCCTGAAATCCTTTTTTAATTATTTGTGAGTGAATAGCCATGGCATGTTTTTCTGAAACAAAATATGCACAAGCTTTTAAGGCAATGGAGAATGTATACCAGTCTGGAAAATAATTTTGACGATGAAGCTGACAGAAAAGGAGGAAAGCCTGCTCAGGATCCCGTTCTGCGAACACAGAAATAAGTGCAGTCCAAGACACAATATCCAGTTGGCTACTTGTATCATGGAAGATCCTATAACAGTCAGAAATGGGTCCTCCAAGATTTGCGTAGGATTTTATCAATGCAGTTATCACTTCAACTTCTGTAATAAGACCGCTTTTAACAGTCAGACAGTGCAATTGAAAACATTTCCTGAGATTCACGTTAATGTCGTGAACAGCACTACATTGATTCAGTGAAGAAAAGACGCTAAGCAGCGTGGCACGATCAAACCCAATTCCACTGCTGTACATGTGTGTAAACAGGCGAATGGCTTTGTCCCCAAGTCCACGAAGTTGAAAACCTGCAATCATTGAATTCCAAGATATAAGATTTCGGAATTCCATTGACTTGAACATGGTCCACGCATCGTCCGCTCTCCCATCATAACCTCCGGGGGAGCCAGAGTGCTTGCTATACATTGCAATAAGAGCATTTGCAACATATACATTGGCATCCAAAGAAATTTTCAAAGCAACTGCATGTACCTGTGTGCCACATTCAATGTCACGCTCCTCACAGGCGCTAAGCAAACTTGCAAAAGCAAATTCGTTGGGGCGAAAGCGAGCCAGCAAGTCAGAGAAGAGAAAGAAACACTCTCTGATTAGGCCAGATTGGCCATACCCCGAAATGAGAACAGTCCAAGAAACAATGTTTCTGCGTGACATTTGGTCAAACACGTAGCGGGCATAGGATAAGTGGCCACACTTGCAGTACATGTTTAGGATGTGATTGGTGAGAAAAAGGTCATTTTGAAATGCGGGGTCTTTCTGCAGCATGTAATGGTGCAGAGCCATGCCATGTTGGAGGCACTTTTTCTGAGCACAAGCATGGAACAGAGAGGCATAGGTTTGAAGGGACAGAGAACAGTGTGTGTAAAGAAGTGAAAGAGCTTCTTCAATGTTGCCTTGTGTAGAAAGAGCATGTATCTTTGCATCAATTTTAGTGGGTAAGGTTTCTGGTTCTACATTTGAAGTACAAAGATTCCGCAACAGACAACGTTTGAAAAACACATAACGCACGAGCTTTCTGGAGCATAACATCAATGCAGAGAGGTGGTTGGCACCAACAAGAACCATCGTGCCTAGTTTTGCATTGTTTGTGTTTTACCAAAAATCTTTTTGGTGAATTCAAATCAATTTCATTTATTTCATTAACCAATTTTGTTTTGTTAGAACTTATCTTCTTCAATTTATTGGATATGATAACAGTTCCAAAATTCAATAAATAAGTAGTAATGAACATTATTTCCTAATATTTATATTTTTTATTTGATTAATTGTTGTAATCTATACATATTTTTAAATGCCAAATACTAAACATGTGAAACACCTTTTCTAAAGGAGATTTAAATTTTAGTTTGTCATAAAGTAAATGTCTAACCTTTTTGTTAAACCAACCTTGACAGATATCAAAATATCTTATTCCTGGATAACAAACAGTGAAGAAGTGGTTCTAAAACTGTGATTCAGTGCTTCTACACATTTTCTGCTATTCTCCAACCTTTCGCATTTTCCATAACAATTCAAACCATAAATGTTGCATTTTGCCAAACCCGAAGGAATGCTCAGTGCCTCATAAATGACCTGAGCAAGTTGCTCTTGCAACGGACACACCTGAACTGAGCAAACATGTCTGTCTCAGTCTCAGGTTCTCAAGTTCTAAGTTTTCCCTCAATTCCACGACCACATTCGAACCCTCCGCCCAGACCTGCTGCACTTCCTTCCTCTTCTTCACGTTCTACTGCTTCCCGTGACACTGAAACCGATTCCTCGTCAGAACCCAACGCCGAGAAGACCGTCAAGTTCGTCTACGCCAGAGCTTCTCCTTCAATCAGATGGCCCCACCTCAAACTTTCCGAAACCTATTCTTCCACGCACACCCAGTTACCCCAAGACGATATTTTCCCCGCCAAAACTCAACCTTTCGACACCCCAGAGGAACCCCCAAAACAGGGTCGCATTGTTGTGAACAACGACGAGGCCCAAGAAGCCTTGGGGAGACGCAGCAGGACGAGGGTGAAAAAGATGAACAAGTTGGCGCTGAAAAGGGACAAAAATTGGAGGGAAAGAGTGAAGTACTTAACAGACACGATTCTGGCGTTGAAGTCGGAGGAGTTTGTGGCGGGTGTGTTGGAAGAACGTAGAGTTCAGATGACACCAACCGATTTCTGCTTCGTGGTGAAGTGGGTGGGTCAGCAGAACTGGCAACGCGCGCTTGAACTCTACGAGTGCTTGAATTTACGGCACTGGTATGCTCCCAATGCGAGAATGGTTGCAACCATTTTGGGTGTGTTGGGAAAGGCCAATCAAGAAGCACTTGCTGTTGAAATCTTCACCAGGGCCGAGTCAAGTGTAGGGGACACGGTTCAAGTGTACAATGCTATGATGGGTGTGTATGCGCGCAGTGGTCGCTTCGATAAGGTAAAGGAGCTGCTTGATTTAATGCGTGAGAGAGGATGTGTGCCTGATCTTGTGAGTTTCAATACTCTGATCAATGCAAGGATGAAGAGTGGTGCAATGGAGCCTAATTTGGCTCTTCAACTTTTGAATGAAGTGAGGAGGTCCGGGATTACGCCTGATATAATAACATACAATACCCTCATAAGTGCTTGTTCAAGGGAATCTAATTTGGAGGAAGCGATGGCAGTTTTCAGCGATATGGAGTCTCACAGGTGTCAACCTGACCTGTGGACTTACAATGCTATGATTTCGGTGTGTGGTAGATGCGGGCGTCCCAGGAAAGCTGAGGAGCTGTTTAAAGAATTAGAGTCTAAAGGATTTCTCCCAGATGCTGTGACTTATAATTCTTTGTTGTATGCTTTTTCCAGAGAAGGGAATATAGAAAAGGTGAGAGAAATTTGTGAAGAGATGGTGAACAAGGGTTTTGGCAAGGACGAGATGACATACAATACTATCATACACATGTATGGGAAGCAAGGCCGGCATGATCAAGCAATCCAGCTTTATAGAGACATGAAGTCTTTTGGTAGGAATCCTGATGCGGTTACGTATACTGTTCTGATAGATTCACTTGGGAAAGCAAGTAAGGTCGAGGAAGCTGCGAATGTGATGTCTGAAATGCTGGATGCGGGGGTTAAGCCTACTTTGCACACGTATAGTGCTTTGATTTGTGCTTATACCAAGGCTGGGAGGCGAGAAGAGGCTGAAGAGACATTCAATTGTATGCGTAGGTCAGGGATCAAAGCTGATAATCTAGCTTACTCAGTTATGTTGGATTTCTTTCTGAGATTCAATGAGATGAAAAAGGCTATGGGACTGTATCATGAAATGATTCGCGAAGGTTTCACGCCAGATAATGGTCTCTATGAGGTCATGGCGCATGCACTTGCGAAGGAAAACATGTGGGGTGTTGTTGACAGAATTATTGAAGATATGGAAAAACTGAGAGGTATGAATCCACAAATTATTTCATCTGTACTTGTTAAAGGGGGCTGTTATGATCATGCTGCTAAAATGTTGAGAGTTGCCATCAGCAATGGCTTTGAATTGGATCATGAAATATTTTTGTCTATCATGAGTTCGTATAGCTCATCTGCTAGATATTCAGAAGCGTGTGAACTTCTTGAATTCTTGAGAGAACGTGCTCCAGATGATATTCAAATGATCACAGAAGCACTCATCGTTATACTTTGCAAGGCTAAAAAGTTAGATGCAGCTTTGGAGGAGTACAGAAGTAGAGGAGGACTTGGTTCATTTAGAAGTTATACCGTGTATGAATCTCTTATTCAGGAATCTATACAGAATGAACTCTTTGACGTAGCTTCTCAGGTTTTCTCTGACATGAGATTCAATGGTGTTGAGCCATCTGAACGTCTGTATCAAGTCATGGTGTCTGTCTACTGTAGAATGGGTTTACCTGAGACAGCCCACCAATTGTTGTATCATGCAGAGAAAAACGGTATTATACTTGATAATAATGTATCTGTTTACATTGATATCGTTGAAACGTATGGGAAGTTAAAGATATGGCAAAAAGCAGAAAGCTTGGTAGGGGGTCTCAAGCAAAGATGTTCAAAAGTGGATAGGAAAGTATGGAATGCTCTAATACATGCTTATGCATTCAGTGGTTGTTACGAAAGAGCTAGAGCTATTTTTAACACAATGATGAGAGATGGGCCTTCTCCGACTGTAGATTCTGTAAATGGTCTATTACAGGCTTTAATTGTTGATGGGAGACTGAATGAGCTTTATGTGGTAATCCAGGAATTGCAAGACATGGGATTAAAGATTAGTAAAAGTTCTATTCTTTTGACACTTGAAGCATTTGCTAAGGCAGGAAGCGTATTTGAGGTACAGAAAATATACAATGGGATGAAAGCTGCTGGTTATTTTCCTACCATGCATCTCTATAGAATAATGCTTACATTGCTGTGCAAATGCAAAAGAGTATGGGATGTAGAAACCATGTTATGTGAGATGGAAGAGGCAGGTTTTAAGCCTGATCTTCAAATTTGCAATTCCGTACTTAAATTGTATTTAGGTATTAATGATTTTAAAAGCATGGGTGCCATTTACCAGAAGATTAAAGATGCTGATCTTAAACCAGATCAAGAAACTTACAATACATTAATTATAATGTACTGCAGAGACTGTAGACCAGAAGAAGGTTTATCATTGATGAATAAGATGAGAAGCCTTGGTCTGGAACCTAAGCTGGACACATACAGAAGCCTGATCACTGCATTCGGTAAGCAACGCATGTATGAACAGGCAGAGGAACTTTTTGAAGAGCTTAGATCAGATGGTTATAAACTGGACCGTGCTTTTTATCATTTAATGATGAAAATGTATAGAACTTCTGGTGATCATCTAAAAGCTGAAAATCTACTGGCCATGATGAAAGAATCAGGGATAGAGCCCACGACTTCCACTATGCATCTGCTTATGGTTTCTTACGGTGAATCTGGGCAGCCTGAGGAAGCTGAGAATGTTCTTAAAAACTTGAAAACAACTGGAGTGGTTCTGGATACTCTACCTTATAGTTCTGTTATTGATGCATATCTCAAAAAAGGGAATTTAAGTGCTGGAATTGAAAAACTCACAGAGATGAAAGATGCAGGCATAGAACCAGATCATCGAATATGGACATGCTTTATCAGAGCTGCAAGCTTGTCTGAGGGAGCAGATGAAGCCATTATTCTTTTAAATGCACTCCAAGGTTCTGGATTTGATCTACCAATCAGGTAATGATTAGTTCATTAAATTATTATTATATCCTTTTAAGCTAAAGATCAGTTTTTATTGTCATCAAGCAAGCACAGATTACTTTTATATTTGTCCAGTTAATAATATATACTAATTGTTCTATAGGCTTCTTAAAGAAAGATCAGAGTCACTAGTTTCAGAAGTTGACCAGTGTCTGGAGAGACTAGAACCTGTGGAAGATAATGCAGCCTTTAACCTTGTCAATGCATTGCTGGATCTCTTGTGGGCATTTGAACTACGAGCCACTGCATCTTGGATTTTCCAATTGGCCATCAAGAGAAGCATTTACCGCCATGATATTTTTAGGTAGGTATTTATTATAGGTACTTCTGCATAATTCTTAGCTGCTGTTCCTTATTGCTTGTATCAATCAATTGCAGAGTTGCTGATAAGGATTGGGGAGCTGATTTTAGAAAACTATCTGCTGGTTCAGCTCTGGTTGGTCTTACGTTATGGCTTGACCACATGCAGGTGACTTCTCTTTCCCCTTTTCATTGCTTTCAAAATTGCTTATGGTCGTTCACTTCTAAGGTTCAAGACTACATATTATATTCATGCTGATAATACTTACTTACCAAATTCTAAGCTTTCAGCTTCGCTTCATCTCTCTAGCTTCTCAGTTTGACCTTAACATTGGAATGTTGGTTTCAATGCAGGATGCGTCCTTGCAGGGCTATCCAGAGTCACCAAAATCAGTAGTACTTATAACAGGAACAGCAGAGTATAACATGGTATCCCTTGATAGCACAATGAAGGCATACCTTTGGGAAATGGGATCGCCATTCCTTCCTTGCAAAACACGACAAGGTGTCCTTGTAGCAAAGGCTCACTCCCTCAGAATGTGGTTAAAAGAGTCACCATTTTGCTTGGATCTGGAGTTAAAAGATGCCCCAAATCTCCCAAAGTCAAATTCAACGCGGCTTATTGAAGGATGCTTGATAAGACGAGGCCTTGTTCCAGCATTCAAGGAAATTACTGAGAAACTGGAAATAGTGAGT